GAGGGCACCTTTTGGGATGAGCACTGGGTGTTGTATGGAAACCAATTTGACAATAAATTTCATATATTGAAAAAAATAAAATAAAAAAAATAAAAAAAAGAATATTTCCTTCTTTGTTTCATATACATTTATGTTTCTATAGAGATTATATAAAATGTTGTATATACTTTCAGTCAACAGTATATCTTAAGTGATATTTTTGGTTCACACTGCTGTCTCTGATCCTAATTATCTGTTTAATGGCTGTGCAATATTTTTTGTTTGGAACCATCACAGCTAATTAAAGATTCCTATTCACTTATTTAGATTGTTTCCAATTTTATACTGTCATTAATTTCATATCAGTATATTCAGACGAATAGCATTCATTGTCCCTTTTTTGTTGTTGTTACTACCTGAGAATAAATCACGTGACCTCATGTGATGCAAAGATCCTTATAAAGGACCACCCGGCCTATAAGAAAGATGCTAGAAACTTGTCAAGGCAGATCTGCCTAGGGGAGCTTTATTGGCAGTGCTGGGCAGAGCCAGTCATGCAATTATTCATTGGCTCGTCTTAACCAGCAGGGGATCGTGCCACATCCAGGGTCCTGTCAAAACCCATGTGGTCAAACCCATGCAGCCAATTGATAGCCCAGAGCCTAACTCATTTATACCAAAGCTTTCAGGTTCTTCCCATCCCAGGCCCATGGAAGGACTAAAGTCCCTTGCTCTCTGAAGTTAGGGGTGGCCACAGAACTTGCTTCAGGCCAGTGACGTGCAAGCTGGTCGATGTTCCCAGTTGTGACACGTCCCTATCCCTGGGCTTCGGTCTCTGCTGGAGGCTGCCATGGTAATCCCATGCATTGGCTTCCAGACATTGTCTTACTGTGTTGTTATGTTTATTACAAATTCCTTTTGTTTCTTTGAAATATTGTCTTGAATTCTTGAGATTATATCTCCAGATAAGTTATAGTATCCATGATTTAATTTCAGGATAGTAGAGGGGGTATTACAAAATATTGTTTACAAAAAAGAGGGCATTAGGTCCAATATGTTTAAGAATCACAGTACTGTAGGGGCACCTGGGTGGCTCTGTCGGTTGAGCGTCCGACTTCGGCTCAGGTCACCATCTCGCGGTCCGTGAGTTCGAGCCCTGTGTCGGGCTCTGGGGTGATGGCTCAGAGCCTGGAGCCTGCTTCTGATTCTGTGTCTCCCTCTATCTCTGCCCCTCCCCCGTTCATGCTCTGTCTCTCTCTGTCTCAAAAATAAATAAACGTTAAAAAAAAAATTAAAAAAAAAAGAATCACAGTACTGTATTATGGGTCAAAGGACATGAACATTTTTATGTCCGCTGCTATACGAAACAAGTGTAAACATCAAAACACTCCCAGCAATGGGAAAAATGGGAGGGGAGAAATTAACTAACTTTAACTAGAATTCAAATTATACAGTGATCAAGTTTGCTTTCACTGACACATCGCTAGGATTAAGTGTACATTCTTTGTTTTTGCTAATCTATTAAATTTATGATGGCTATAATTCCACATCCCTTGTGTTACAAGAGCAACATCATTCCAAGCATTAAAAATTCCTTTCTCTGATTTCCACCCTTCTGTATCTTTACCTTCCTCTATTTTCCTTCATAGCAGTAATTGCTGCCTGATGATAAAGAGCAAAGCAACTTGTTTCTTGGCTTCTTATCTTTTTACTGCCTGTAAGGTAAATGCCAGGTCACAGTTGGTTCATTCTTATGTCGTCAGACAACGGGCAACACGGAATGGAAAGCGGAAGGATCTTTCTTGAATGAATGAATAAATAAATCAATCCCCTTCCTGTTTTCAATATCTCATCCAGCCTGCTCCATTCCTTAATCATTTCCTTTCCTTTTTGTCACTACGTCCACCTTTCGGATTTAAGCAACTTAAATTGGAAAAAAATAACTCACCTGGGCTAGAATTAAAATTAGAATGATACAATAATCCAGCTCAGGGGCTAAACTTAAGAGAAAAAAAAAAAAAAACAGACAAGTTGGGCGCTGGCAGATCGGTCATTTTGGATCTTTGCTCCCTTTTCTTTCCCTTTTGTTCCTGGCTCTTGGCTTCTTTCCTCCTTTTTTAGGTCACGAGACAAGAAAATATGATGTAAAAACAAGTTTATTTCCTGCTGTTGATACCCCTTGTTGAGAGATTAAATGACTAAAGCTATCAGCTACCATGCTGTTTGGGCATTACAGTCTCTAACTCCAACACTTTATTTGATAAATGACCAGAGAGGCAAAGAAATCAGTCACCATTTTGACTGGGCATGCCATGAAGATGTGCTTGTTTTCACTCATAGATGTGCTCCTAAATACATTATAATATGCTATGGTGTGTGTGTGTGTGTGTGTGTGTGTGTGTGTGTGTGTGTGTACACATACATATACACATATTTTAACTTCCTATTTTAAATTTTTTTTTTTCAACGTTTTATTTACTTTTGGGACAGAGAGAGACAGAGCATGTACGGGGGAGGGGCAGAGAGAGAGGGAGACACAGAATCGGAAACAGGCTCCAGGCTCTGAGCCATCAGCCCAGAGCCTGACGCGGGGCTCGAACTCACGGACCGCGAGATCGTGACCTGGCTGAAGTCGGACGCTTAACCGACTGCGCCACCCAGGCGCCCCTTAACTTCCTATTTTAAAATAATTATAGACCCACAAAAAGTTGAAAACCTAACATAGTACAGAGAGGTTTTATGTGGTCATCACTCAGATTCCTCCCAAAGTGATATCTTTCACAGTAATAATGACTACCCCAAATCAGGAAATTCAATATAATTTTTATACATTGACTATCTTAGTTATAGTAGAGATTTCATTATTTAAAAATGAACCCAGGGAACCTCAGTTGGTTAAGCATCTGACTCTTGATTTCAACTCAGGTC